CGTAATCGTTGGCCTTTTTGGAAATGAAACTCTATGGAACGCGCCGGTGCAGTGATTCACAAGTAATGTTTTGAATGATTTTGTGCTCAACTACAATAAAGTAGCNAGGCCGTGCTGACATATACAGTGAGCCACCCCTTCTGCAGCAGATGCCCTCCTTCCATCCAGTGGTGCCACATGTAGTGTGCGACTACCCTTCGAAATGTCACCGTGACTTCGTGTAAAAATTCATCATATGGCGCATTATTCGGGAGGGGGATTGATGATTATCGGTTGCGTGTTGACTAAGTTCGTGTAAACCCCATTGAGCGGATCGTAAAGAGTAAGACTTTCTCGGAATTTCACTCTAAACCCTAAACAAACAGCTAGCGCAGCGAATGAATGATTTTCGGGTAGCTACTGTGTTGCTGGTCGTCGACCTTCACTCTTTGCAATACCACTTATCGCAACACTCATAGCAGTAGATTCAACCAGTTTCTATCAATCAACCAGTCTTTCTCTTACCACATCCATTTTTTGATCACACAGATCGCAGTCGTTTGTTGCCTGGCAAAGTAACATTACTGGTAGTGTTATCTATCACTTTGAAACCTTGACATCGCTCTTATCATTGAATATTTCGATTTCAGCCTCCTTAGTTCTCTTGCAAGGACTTCATTCCTTTTTTTGCTATTCAGAATCAAAAAGTCATTTGGAGTCCTGGAAGTATCGAATGCTCATTACCATTCACCAGAAGCTTGCCGACAAACACATCAAGTGTGAGCGTCCCACTATCCCGACAGCCTTCGACAGCTCTTGATGGGGAATCTTCTTTCCACATCTGAGTTAACCAGATTCACCTTTTCTGCTTAGATGGCAGTAACGGCCGAAACTCCAGTGATGGGAGATTTCATTGACTTGGATTAGCCCAGGGTCAACCACGGCACAGTAGGTATTGCTATTCCGAATGGAGGGTCCTCCTTCTCTCACATAATAGTTTACAGTAGATATTGCTTGTTGCCGTGGCTACATCAAATTTCCCCACTTTACTGCTATTACCCTAGTCCCAAAGGAATTTAACAGAAAATTCAAAGCGAAAGTTTCTGCAGATTATTTCTTCTTATCTCATCTTATTCTTACTTGTGTTACCTCGATGGGGGATTCTTTATATCCTTTGATACCATTTTTTAAGGCTTTCTGTCAGAAAAATGGGCCAATTCGATGGTCGAGCGGTAATCGTTACTGGTGAGATAGGTTACTCGCTCATTTTGATTCTTCTCCATTAGAAAAAGCTCAAAAATATGCAAACCACTGGAACCAAAGTGCAACATGCCTTTTCTCTTTTCTCGACTCATATCGACTTTGAAAAAGAAGATGGTTACCTTAAGGGTCATCCAATGGAATTGGTCGAGCAACTGCCGTAATGTTTGCTAAGGAAGGAGCAATGGTGACAATTTGCGGACGAGATGAGAAAACGCTGAACGTTGGTTTTGACGAGTTGTTTTTAGCAGAATTGTTCTCGAAATCAAAATGATTAGCATCAAAAGAAAAGAAACTTAAGGAAACCAAGTCGATGGTGCTGGCGGTGAACGGTGGCGATGAGAAAAAAGTTTTCTCAGCCCTTGGAGACCTTTGTAAGGAAGAAGTAATGAAGGCGATCGTCGATGGAACTGTTAACGCGTTTGGTCGATTGGACGTGCTGGTACGATTTTTTTTTTGGGGAAGAAAAAGAAACGGGTCCTCACATCGTCCTTTATAATACGCCGCGCTCTCGGCTCCCATTTGGAATTCATGGAGTTTGGGAATAAAATGACAGTATGCACAGGCAGTAAAATGACTTATTAAATTCAGACAAACAGCTTTTTATTAATCGGACGAACTGGTAAGGTACTTTTTTCGGAGAAAAAAAAAGGATGACCCGCATTGGTCAGCCTCTCTACGGTTCGCCACCCATTTGAGCATAACTTGGGTAATAGCATAGCGTAAATAATTGTACCATAATATATGGTTGCATGCACAGGCTATAAAATGGAACAAGTAATGAACATACTTCATTATAGTCTCTAGGATAAGCCATTCCACTATCATCCAGGGCTGAATTGCCGTTTAGATGAATAAAAGGCCATTTATAGCCCATTTGTGATTGAATAATAATATTCAATCACAAATGGGCTTCCCTCCGTTCACCTAGATTCTATTGCCTCGATGCAACTCAACAACGATTTAGTCCGGCATTAGTAGGCCTGTTCCAGTTCGATCCAAACTGTTACAGATCATTTAATCTGTTATATCTCAAAAAAACTAATCAAAGGTCTATCCTAGTACATTAGGTCAGAAAGCGGAAAAATTCAACAGGTGGTTCTCAGGTAAACAACGCTGGCGGCACCAATAGATTGGATTGGGAAAAGCCAGAAATCGAAGGCGATTTGAGCAACTTTGAGTACACCCTCAATCTGAATACGAAAAGGTATATAGGTAACTCGTTTAATCATAGACAAACTAGAATTCACGGTTTTTAAGCATCCTACGTCTGTGTCAGCTTGCCTATCCGCATTTGATCGAAAGTAAAGGAGAAATTGTGAATGTGAGCAGTATCGCCGGTCAGCCAAACGGTTCTGTGAGTATTGCCATTATCAAAAACCTTGACTTTGATAATAGAAAATCTCAAAACGTATCACTTTCATCGAATCTGATTTTTCCAGTCATTGACATCTCCATACTACAGCATTTCTAAAGCAGCACAGGATCATCTTACTCGGAATCTTGCCATTTGCTACATCCAGAAAGGTGTTAGAGTGAATGGTGTCAGGTAAGCTGAGGCAAAAAATGTTGATCGAACACGAAAAAGGACTAGAAGTCCCGAAAACATCCAAGTATCATACCTTGTGTCACTTTTCTGGAATGAACTACTATATAAAATGTCAAAAAATTACGGATGCAGACGTCTTTAGAATCTAACAGTGTTACATTCTAAAAAGCCGGTGAAGTGTCTGAATCAGTGCATTCATCCCTTAAGAATGCTCAAAAATTTGAAACTGAGTAATAAGACCTGTAATAATAGTAAGACCAAGACCAGTGGAAAATTTCAAGCGAGGGGGACCAGGCATGACCTAGCGCTCATTTCAGCTATTGATATTTTCGAAGGCAATTTAGGCACTATTCAGAGGAAATGCGGGGCAGTCAAAGTTGCCGCCTCAGAAGCGCGCTGTTGCGACGCGGAAGTGTCTTATGTTCACAGCCTATTTGAGTTCCACTAACAATAAGGCTTTGTAAAGTGCGTCAAAATTGATAGGTGTTGAGCAACAGATGTTTCCTGAGCATTCTTCCTGTGCGCATTCAGAATCTATACAGAATCATGCCTAATGGAAAAAATTTCAGTCCTGGAATGATATCGACAAATATTATACAAAGAACAGGAGTACCGCCGGAAGTTGTAAAAAAGGTCAGTGGCAGGTCACTTAAATTAATCAGTTGGATTGATTTTATTCAACACTTCTTAAGATGGAGGACGCAGTTGCTGCATCACCTTCACGTATCCCGTGTGGCCGCTCTGGAACTCCTGATGAAATAGCTGAGGCGATTCTCTTCCTGGCCGATAGGTACGTTGTCAGTTGAACAACTCAGTTGCATTCACACTCGGCGATCTGTGGCGTGTCACATTTTTAAAATTTTGGCGGTCTCCTCTCTTTCTCTATTCACTATAACCCAGTATATCACAATACCACATGGGATAATTCCCAATCGGATGTGACTGTCACAACCGTACAACGTCAGTAATTTCCGCGTTCTGTCTTCTTGAAACCTGGGCATGTCACATAATATTTCACAATGCTTTGCAGTACAGGATTGTTATGATGGAACCGTTTATTAGTGGTCGTTTCGATTAACTCGTCGTCTTCAAGAACCTGAGAGTAGTTCGGACCTTTTAGTCTGTGGCTTACCTGAATAAGCGCACAAGCGCACCAGGTCAGGCGCAACTACAACCAGAAGCTCATACACCGAAACATCCCTGCCAAGAGGCCAGCCTCCTGCGGTTCCACTAGCGTTAGTTAGTGGTACCAGTTAGTGGAACCGCAGGAGGTTGGTTTCTTGGCAGGGATGTTCCGGTGTTTGTGCTTCTGAGAGTAGTTGCAATTGATTTAGTGCGTTTGGGCGCTTATTAAGGTAAGCCACAGACCAAGAGCTTCGTGCTACTTTCGGTCCTTGAAGAGAACGACTAGTCGAAACGTCCACCTAGTAAACGGTTCGGTTTTAACAAACCTGTACGGCAAAGCATTGTGTTACAGTCAGTCATCAGTCTGATGAAACTGACGCTGCCACAAATTCCTATGAATTGCCCAGAAGATGTCAGCCGTAATCGTTGGCCTTTTTGGAAATGAAACTCTATGGAGCGTGCCGATGCAGTGATTCACAAGTAACGTTTTGAATGATTTTGTGCTCAACTACAATAAAGTAGTACATTCGTAGAGGAATGGCAGCGTTATAGTGGTCAGAACTGTTGAGAAGACTGTTACCACAGTCTATTTGAATTCGAATACAATAGGGCTTTTACTAGATTTTTCTCTATATGCTGGTGTTTAAGGAAGAGATCAAGTTATATTGTCGGCCATTTGTTGGTGGTTGATGGCGGATCGTCGTTGCAAATGCCAGTTATCGCTGATGGTTTTCAAATCTTCAATAAAGTGCTCACCGACCTCCAGTCGACGAAAGCCTGAACTTCATTGAACTGCTTGTTAAAATAAACTAGTATCCCGAATACGCCTAGAAAAAATCGTTTCGTTTGCTACGAATAAATGCTTTTTTCTGTGTTACGAAAAAGCCCCCATAAAAACACCGTTCGGAAATGAAGTATTATGGGAATCAGCGTTTTACAGGGATCTATCAATTTGTTAAAACGGCAATGAATCAAAATCGGACCATTTTTGGGTGCGGTGCTATCTATTCTGGGAAAATAACTGTGCACACATGCTAGCCGATATTTGGGAAGTTTCGAACCCACCCTTTCCGACAGTTTCTATGCCTTTAAAAAAGGTTCGGGAAGTATAGGGCGACTGGTAAACCAGTCCGGACCCAGTACAAAAAACTTACACTTAAAGAGTGTGTCCACAATACCGCTATTAACAAGTTGCCCTTTTTCGGCGAAGACTTGGCGAAAGCGATTTTCATCGAACGTTTGCATTGTATACGGTCGGTACTACCTTTGTTTTCAAAGTCTTTCTATTTTTTGGCTATGAAACACATCTACTGACACTGAAATGGCCGTTTCTGAGTCCCTGTTATCTGTGCCAAAGAGTGGGACTACACGTCCTGTTCCACGGCGTTGCAGCACCTCAGATGTTATGACGAGATTGGAGCTGTGGAATGTCAGTTGCGTAACATGTCACACCCATTTACGAAGCACACTGAGTTTTGGATTGAAGGAAGAAGGATAAAGTTTTTGGCGTTAATCAATCCCGTCTGAGGTATGCACCCCCGCACTCGACTTCCATTCAGAATCGTAGTGGTCTGTTGAATGTGTATGTGGCCTATAAAATGACTTGCGGCGGCCAGCCGATGTACGAGTCAGTGCTTTTACCCTCCCAG